TTAAAATTGTATAGACAATCTATTGGTTATGAATAAGAAGTGGGTTAAGGAAGAAAAGAGAAAAGGGAAGTTGAAGGGGTGTGTGGATTTAAGAAGTCCCACATTGGACAAATGAGTAGGAGGTGAGAGAGTTTATAAGGTCTCACCTCACACTCCTAAATTGCCCCTTGGGGCACTACACATTTTGTGGAGGGGAGAGGAGCTAGGTGGGCTAAGGTCCACCACACACACGCGCGCGTGCGTCGCCGTCCTTCTGTCCAGTCGGCTCAGCTCGGTTCAGTTCGTAAGTGTGTGTGAAATAAAAATAATTTTTTACTAAATTATTTCTTAATTTTTTGTCCAAAATGCCTCTGTGATTATCCATTGCTTCTCTCCAATTTTTTCAAACCCAAACGTTCCTACCCTCCTATTTTTTGAGTATTTTGAACCGAACCGGGTCTTACTTTTCGCGAATCGGTCACCGGTTGTGCCTGTTAATCGAACCGGTGACCGGTCAGTATCTATAAATAGACCCTGACACCTTCATAAATTTCATCCAGTTTTTGCATTGTTACTCTGCCGAATTTTTTCCTTCATCCGGTTTGTATCCTCCTTTCTGTTTTTCGGTGTACCTTTCTCTGGCATATTGTTGTGTTTGTTTGGGCTGTTGACTGATAGTGCCACCACTCCTTAGACGAAATTAATTCTATCCTGGGAGACACTTGTCCATCAACCTTTGGTATCAGTTAGGGGGAAAATTGTCTTAAGGAGACATATTCTGTGGGCACGGATTTAATCCATCATACTGCGTACTTTCATCATTTTGTCTCATTATCTGACCTGTAAGTCTGTTCTAATTTTACTGTTCACTGTAATTCTGATTATTAATCTCTTCTGTTCTATAAATAGGTTCAAATCTCTTAGTGATTTAATATCACCCACTGTCTTCATATAAAAGGTTATGGGATCTTCCGAAACCTGCTGCAGTTCTACTCCTCATCTCATGGTCTACTCGTGAAGTAGAACTAAGGATATATGTGTTGGATATTTCTGAATTCGCCATGCCAGAAGTAGTACCCTTAATATCATTATTCACTAGCGAAGCGAAACTGGGGAAACTTGCATGATCATGTGCGATATCGGTCGAGCTAACACTAACAATTTGGCTATCTATTTGCGAAGTGAAAGATAGGGTATTTGCTTTGGTGGGGTTTTTAGTTTTTTGTCCCTGTTTGGTAGTATTGGGGTTCATTTGCATAGAGTTTTCCTAAGCTTGAATAGAGATAATGGAAGTTGCATGCTTTCATTGTAACCAAAGGATTTTAGTCAAGTCTTTTATATTGTTGCTTGTTGCGAAATCGGCAAGTATACCATTCGTTTCAAGTAAAAAAGTAATAAGTAGAGTATCGTTCCCACGAGGATTAATGCACCAAGTACTAGTTTAACTATTCCCCTTAAGTTGGAAAATAAAATTGGTTTGGTTTGTGAAAGTAATGAGTGTTTATAATTTAAAAACAGAATTTAAAATAAAATAATATTTAAAAACAGAAACTTAAAAACAATTAATTTCCAACGCATGCAAGAAGAGATCAAGAATGCGAGAAAATATTGATGAAAAATTTATAAGAAGAATGTATCCAGGATGCACTTCACCTCCGATCCTCCCTTATATTCCTATATTGTATTTTATAATTAATTAATTCGTTCGTTCAGACAATTCATTATTTCCCTATAAAATAGCTGAACCCTAATGTCTTAGTGATTTCAACCCCTTAACCCAATCAGAATTCTAATGTCTTAGTAATCCCTCTTGAATTAAGCATTAAGCAAATGAATTATGAGTCTGCAATTTATGTAAGCATATGTCTAGATCATACACAAATTGTTATTCTACCCTTGTTCAGATTAAAACCCCAATATGTCTATTGTGAATTCTAACCCTCAAAGCCCTATAATTTAGAATGGCCAATTCTAAACAGGATATGGAAAAATTATCACAAGTAGAATAAAACTAACTAACTAATTAAATTATAAAAATAATATAGAAAATAAAAAGGATTCACATCGGGTCCGTGATCCCAACTACAAAAACAAATTAGCCAGATATATTCATATCTGACTAAAACAAATTAAAGAAATAAAAAGTATTCATTAAAACAATAAAGAAAAAGAAGAAGAAGAAGAAGATGAAGGATCAATGATCTTCAGTCTTCAACTCCGTCGGAATCCTGATCTCCAGCGTGAGCTTCCAAGAATTCTCTCCAGCCAAATATTGTTTGTCTCTGAGGTCTGAGTCTCTATTTATAAAGTTGTGTCTTGCTTAGAAATCTTGATCAAATCTTCATTGTATATCTTGGGTCCAATTTCCTCTGATTCAAATCTTGATCATATCTCTTGATTTCAATCTCTTCCAAATCTTCTAATCATATCTTTGATCCAATCTTTCAAATTTTCATTTTTTTTTTTAATTTAATAGAAAATTTTCTTAAAAAATATTCAAAGGAAGATTTGATAAAATCTTCAATGACTCAGAAATCCAAAGCAACTCCAATTGATATCTTCAATTATCTCTTTATTGAGCTGAAATTAATGCAAAATATCAGAAATCTTATGAGAATATTATTGAGAATAAAATAACAATTTAATTATAATTCTCATAATTTTTAATTACTTTTAAATCAATGTCATGCTCATATTGACCCTTAAAACATAATAAATTGGAGACTCATCATTGCTCTCATCAACACGTTAATTTAATAGACTCTAATTATTAATTTACAAAAGTATATAAATTAAGGAGGACCAATTAAAGATGACAAAGTCTAACATTCATTAATTGTGTGTATAGACAGCTAATATGGCACCATTGTTTTTGAATGTCGAGGTCAATTTCTTAAAAATACGCGTTGAGGAAACATGACAGCCTAACTACTTATAAAACAAACAAACAAGGGGCTAATCATAGTTATTGACATTCAAGGTAATTATAAAAAATATTAAATTTTAAAAGACACCGACAATGAGGATTGCATGAATCAGAAAAGAAAAATGTTAGTATAAAAATATTTATAACACAAGAAAAACCAAATTATAAACCATATATATATAGTAGCATTCTAGCTCTTGAAGTGGCGCTTAATTCATTTAAGTTATTATCGTGACCTACAATATTATGTTTCGTATGCTTTTTCATCGTAGAAAGGAAATGAAGAGAGCCTAATGAGGGAACATATCCTTTGCTTACTATCGATTTAATAACGGAATTAAAGAGACTCAAAATGATGAAATTTCGTTAGCAAGGGTTGGCACACTTGATCCAACCTTAAGCACACAATAAAATTGGTTGGTCTTTGTTGACCATGCTTTTAGCTTATAAAGAAAGGGATGAACTTTCGGTGGCTCCATCGAATCTCTCCGTGATTCTATGGACTGATGAGATAATTAAGAACCTGTTTGAATACTGTTTCTAAAATAGTTTTTCAGTTTTCAAAACAAAAAAAACTCGTTTGCTAATATTTGTTTTATAAAAATAAGAACTGCTATTTATCCTTTTTCTTTAATGGAAGTCATAAAACTAAGCAAATGAAGGAAAGTCTCCCCTGTAATCCATTGTCCTTATTCTGACCATTGCCACGATTCTAATTATCTTTTTGAGGTCAGTCGGCCCTTTGAGTATTTTCATAAATTTAAACTTTTTGAGTTGACTATGAAATTAATCTTGAGTCGGAGCTTAACAACAGTTAAAGCTTATCATCCTTCCCAAAAGATGTATTAATGAGATTGAAATCAGGTTCTCTCTCCACCTACTTAGTTTCTGTCACCTACTTAGTTACACCCATTGGCTACAATTGGCACTTTTTTATACCAACAACTATCTAATGTCTATTTTTTTCTATCGGTTTATCGATTATCCAATTGAGTCGGGTAGGACTACAAGGGCGACAAAACATTCCCTAACAAGTTTTTACCACAGCTATATACCCAAGACTCGAATTGGAGACCCCAACTTAAGCTGGAACAATTCCTTACTAATTAACCCACGTACTTAGTGGTAATATCTATTTTCCTAACACTAGAAAGGTATCATTATCTTATTTTATGATGTTTTACCCTTCAAAATATAGGGCAAGTTATATTTACAAATTTTTACAAACTAGATTATCTTCCTCCGGGATAACACTAGATTTTATTATGTTCTCCCTGGAGAAGATAGTATAATTCATAAAAATTTGTCAAAAAAGTTTGTAAACCTTCCCCTCAAAATATATATAATTAGTTTATGGGAAAAAGAAGTATCCTTTTGATTGACACAAGCTTGTGTCATTTTAGGTGTTTTACACAAAGTACGACCGGTCGTACTTTGTGTAAAATTGAAAAGTTACTTTTTTTTCTCTCTCCCCAGTCACATCGCTGACGTGTAAAGTGAAAAAAAGAGTAACTTTTCAGAATTACACAGAGTACGACCGGTTGTACTCTGTGTAAATCACTAAAAGGACACAACTTATGTCCTTTTGAATGATACACACTAAACCCTTAGTTTATAATATATATATATATATATATATTGGATACTTAATTTATAGTATGAGTAAACACCCTTTTTAGTCCCTGTCAATATCTACGAAGTCCTTTTTAGTCCCTGGGAATAAAAAAGGACCAAATTGGTCCCTGAACTTACAAAAAAAGGGGTCATGTTAGTCCTTATGTCAACTCCCAAATATGTAGAGTGACCCTTTTCTTGTACTTTCAGGGATCAATTTGGTCCTTTTTTATTGTCAGGGACTGAAAAGGACTTCGTAGATATTGCCAGAGACTAAAAAGGGTGTTTACTCTTATAGTATTTTAGCCTATGGTTTCCATGTGATCCACTCTCATTGCTGTGACAATTTATACTTCTTTATACCAACATGTTGCAAATGTCTCTTTTCCAAATACAATAAAGTTATCAGCTTTATGTGATCCACCGAATCAAAAGGAGACCTTAGACATCTACCCATCAAATCAAATTTTTCTTATTCGAGATGGAATCTGACTTGAGTTGGATGGTTCCCATTGAAGTGATGCTAGGTTCCCTCAATCATGGAGAAGTTCAGGCATGCAGCATTTCTAGTGTTCCAGATGAGATTCGAGACCCAAATGACGATGCTTACAAGCCAAAGCTTGTTTCCATAGGACCCTTACACAGAGGAACCACAAGGCACTTGCAATTAATGGAAGAGCCCAAATGGCATTACATGCGCGAGTTTCTTGACAGAAAAGGAAGCCAAGAACAAACCAGAAGATCAGAGTTAAGGTTAAGAGATTGTGGCATGGAAATTCTGAAAATGGATAAAGTAATTCGTGCAAGCTATGGAGGTAACATCGAATTGGAACCTCACGAGTTCGCTAAAATAATGATAGTCGATGGTTGCTTCTTGTTGGAGCTTCTCATTAGGCTTGGAAGTTACATGGAGAACAAGACAAATAGTACTTATTCTGAAGACCCTATACTTGAAACTGAGGAGAAGGTTTTCTCTGTTCTCAATGATATCACAATGCTTGAGAACCAAATACCCTTTATTGTTCTCAAGAAGTTATATAGGAAAGTCTTCCCCAATGGCACTGAAATCAAAGATGATCACAGGGTTGCTGATATTGTAAGGAAAGCTTTCGGGTACCCTTTGATGAATAGTTCAGGAGGGGCTCATATACTTCACTTGATGCACTTGTCCACTATTGAACAGAACCAGCATGGGAGTAAAGAAGTGAAGAAAGCTTCTAAAGAACTAGTGCGTTGTGCTGCAAGGTTAAAAGCTACAGGAATAATGATTCAACCTGGAAACAATAGCTCCAATCTTGATAATAAGTTGGTTGATGTGTTCAACTTTGACATCAATTTCAATGGCAAGGTGTTGGAAATCCCGGTGCTGCATATTAAGGAAACAACGGAAGTTAAGTGGAGGAATTTGATTGCTTGGGAGCAGAGTAGAATATGGATAAGATGTAAATACACTTCGTATGCTCTGTTCTTTCAAGGTTTGATTTGTTGTAAGCATGATATTGAGTTGCTTGAGGAGAATGGAGTTATAGTGAATGAGTCCAAGAAGAGCAAGGAAGATTTGCTTACACTATTTCGCACAATCTGTGAAGGAGTTGAGCACATGGATTCAAGTTATAGTGAACTTTGTGTGAGCTTGAACGAATACAAGAGAGCAAAACCGTGGAGAAAATGGCCTATAGTCACTTGGCATCTGTGCAGGGTTATCTTCGAAATTGTTGTTTACTATTGGAAAAACTGGTTCACTATTTTGATACGTGATCATGTCCCTACAGTGTGGAAACTCATTGGAGTGTTGGCAGCTATAGTGTTGCTAGCTCTCACTATTGCTCAGACATATTACTCAGCCCACAGTAGTCACTAGTAAAATCTAGTCTTGTTTAGAGTTGATTTCACCAATTCCATCTATAGCAGAGGAGTAGCACAATCCTGCTACTTAAAATGTTTTTCATTAGTCCTTTGAAGCAAATGTAATGTTTGTTTCTGAATTGGTATCATGTTGATCATTTACTGCTAAATCTTAATGTCTTAAAGAATGACTAAGCAATTATTTTGATTTAATTTTTTTTTTCTTGTTTATCTATTAGTTTCAATTGTTAGGGAGATTATTCTTCTTATTCAAATGTTTTGAGTTCGAGCCTGTAACACATCATTTTGTGAAATAAATAAATAAAGCAGTTAACACATCCAATGTGGACACAATTAATAAATAGAGGACATATTTAAAAATATTAAACTCCCTTTTAATTAAGGGAAAAAGTATCTAATGTTACTTCAGATAACTTTGTCTAATGTTCATTGAAACGACGTCGTTTTGGAGTTGAAAAATTAAAAAATTAGAATGATAAAGACTATTATAACCCTGAAATAAATTAAAATTACAAAAAGTACCATGATTCTGTCTAAAACGACGTCGTTTCGATGAACATTAGATAAAGTTATCTAAAATAACTTTAGAAAAAAGAAACCTTTTAATTAATCATTCGTGTAGGATAGTTAGATTGTTCAAGTAACATGTCCTTTAGTATAAGATGTTTTGTAAATAACATCACTTGAAAGAAAAAAGGACATAAAAAATATTCTACTAAAAGTAAGAAACATAAATTTCGAGGAATGAGGTAAGTGGGTTGCATCCAGGAAAGAAACAATAGGGTTGAAATTTTGTCTCTGTCTGTGCCTCCTTTTTTTTCTTTTTTCTTTTTTCAAAACAAAGTGGCCGATAGGAGTGTTCGCGTTCTGGATTGGATCGGTTTTATAAGCAAAAATCATCCGATCAAATTCCTTCGATTTAATCATATAATCATCCATTCGGTTTGGATTTTTTTTCAAATCCGATCCGATCCAATCCAATTTTTTTCGATTTGGATTGGATCGGTTTTCGGTTTTTGAAAATCTTAAAATTTATTTCATGATTATTGTGCAAATAACATATTTTGTATATATTGGCTTTGTAAATTTTATTTTTTTTGAAATACAAAAGCATTAGTAAATTATAATATAATTTTTTTTTTGGACAATGAGATATGAAGCTTTACAAAGATAAAATTTTGCTGATGAGATGTGACTAAATTTTTTCTTGGGTTTTAGTTGATAGGTTAATGGGTCTTGAGTTTAAAAAATTTTGGGCTATGATTGTGGAAAGACCCAAGTAGGTAGAGGGAAATTAATATATTGGATCGGTTTGGATTGGATCGATTTTTATCAACCATCCAAAAACCGATCTAATCCAATTAAAATTTGCGATTTTTTTCGGTTTTCGGTTTTTCGATTTTCGATTTTTCGGTTCGGTCACCGCGGTTTGAATCAGTTTAGATCGGTTGATGAACACCCCTAGTGGCCGACAGATAAAAGTTGGTATCTACACTCTTGCTCATTTCATTGAAATGTTGTCCATAAATTGGCTCAGAATTACAAATTACAAATAAATTTGAATTGGCAACAATCTGTAACCAACTCGTAAAATTGCAACTCCTAAGAAAACACAATCAGCTCCTATTAAATACAATACACAATCAGCTCCTATTAAATATAAAATGCAATCAGCTTCTATTAAATATAAAACACAATCAACTCCTATTACCTTAAATTTAAAATTCAAATAACCTCCAACACTCCCCCTCAAGTTAGAGCATGTAAGGATGAAATCCCTAACTTGGAAAGGAAACCATGGAAGGCCGAGTGTCCAAGAGCCTTTGTGAACAAATCTGCCAGCTGAGACTGAGAACGAACATGCGTTGTAGCAATATGACCCGCGAAAATATGATCCCGAACAAAATGACAGTCAAGCTCAATGTGTTTAGTTCGCTCGTGAAATACTGGATTAGCAGCAATGTGAGGTGCTGTTTGATTATCACATAGGAGATCCATAGGACCAGAATGATTAACTCCAATACTCAAGAGAAATCCTTTAAGCCAAATCAACTCTGAAGTAACCGCAACCATGGCCCTGTATTCGACCTCTACTGAAGAACGAGCTATAGTGACTTGTTTCTTTGTTCTCCAAGATACAGGAGAGTGACCAAGCATGACAAAATAACCTGAAACAGACCGCCGTGCAAGGGGACATGATGTCCAATCTGAATCACAATAACCATGTAACTTTAAATCACTAATAGAAGGCAGCAAAGCACCCTGCCCGGGACTCCTTTCTATGTAACGCAGAACACGAGTAACCGCATGAAAATGTGTCTCATGTGGCGCCTGTATGAACTGTGATAAAACATGAACTGCATAGCTCAAATCAGACCTAATGATGGTCAAGTATACAAGTTTTCCAATAAGCTGTCGATAACGTTCTGGTTGGTCAAATAAGGGTCCATCATCAAGAGCTAACCTATGATTTTGTTCCATAGGAGTAACTACTGGTTTGCTCCCACTCAAGCCTGTCTCGGTGAGAATGCTTAATGTGTACTTTCGTTGACACAAGAAAATACCCTCTTGACTCCGGGCAACCTCTATTCCTAGATAATACTTCAGTGGTCCCAAATCCTTGATCTTGAAGCAAGTGTTAAGATAATTTTTCACCTACATACAAGCTGCAGTATTGTTCCCTGCTAAGATTATGTCATCCACATACACCAAAAGAGCTAAGAATACATCACCACAAGAAAAGGAAAACAATGTATAGTCAGCCTTGGATTGTTCAAATCCATATTCGAGCAACGAAGAACGGAGCTTAGAAAACCAATTGCGTGGTGATTGCGTTAAACCATATAACGACTTTTAAAGACGACACACTTGATGAGAAGAGCCAGTGGATGGCCGAAAACCTGGAGGAAAGCGCATATAGACTTCTTCCTCCAAATCTCCATTTAAAAATGCATTGTGTACATCTAACTGATGCACCTCCCATTTCTTCGCAGATGCAACAAGTAACATTCGCACACTAACCATTTTGGCAACGGGTGCAAACATTTCACCATAATCTTCTCCTTCAACCTGTCTATTTCCTGCAATAACAAGACGAGCTTTGTATCGCTCGATCGAACCATCTGCATTACATTTGATTTTGAAAACCCATTTAATGGGCAAGGTATGCTTTCCTAGAGGAAGGTCTGTGATACGCCATGTATTGGTTTCCTCAAGTGCTGAGATCTCCTTTCTCATTGCATCAATCCACCTGGTATCCGTCATTGCTTCACGAAAATTTGTTGGCTCATATCCTGCATCAACAACGGCTAAAAATGCTCGATGTTTAGGAGAAAATTTATCAAAATCAACATAATTGTGTAAGGGTACCTTATGTGAGCAGAATGATCAGAATTGGTGACAGGTGGAGAGGTACTATGTGTTTCAATTCTACAGGCATATTGGTTTAAATATTCTGGTTGCTTCCGAGTCCGAGTAGAAGGACGCACAAGTGGGTTTTCTGTTGGAGCAAGAACAATCTCTGTAGATCCTGTAATAGTATCGGGTTCAGCCTCATGTTCTTCCTCAACATTTTCAATTGGATATGTGGATGCAGGGTTTTCCCTTTCTTCAGCAATAGACAACTCATTTTGAGTAACAAATAGGATCAAAACTGTGTGGGATAACGGCAGGAAGAGTTAGCGAGAAAATTTCATCATCAACATGGTTCCTTGCTGCAAATGGAAATTCATTTTTATGAAAGCTAACATCACGACTCACATAACGTTCATGAGTTTCTAGATCTATCACACACCACCCCTTCTGATCAACAGGGTAGCCAACGAAAATGCAACGGCGTGAACGAGAACTGAATTTATCGTGCGATTTGGCGCGAACCGCTGCATAACATAAACTTCCAAAAACCATCAAATGATCAAAATTAGGTGGAACACCATGTAACAACTCATGTGGGGTTCGACCTCCAAGACCCTTAGATGGGGTTTGATTTATAAGATAGACGGCTGCCAAGACACTTTCTTCCCAAAATTCAACCGGCAAGTTTTCCTGAAACAACAATGCACGAGACACATTAAGTATGTGTCTATGTTTTTGTTCCACCTTTCCATTCTGTTCTGGTGTATGAACACAAGACGTTTGACTTGAAATGCCCATATCTGTGTACAACTTGGTTAAATTATTTTTTTTGAATTCTGTGCCATTATCAGACCGGACCACCTTAACTGTTTTCTGAAACTGAGTCTGAATCATGAGAATAAATTTTCGCAACCTAGAAAAGGTTTCACTTTTATCTGAAACCTTGTATACCCAAATAGCTCTACTGCAATCATTGACACTTGTCAAAAAATAACGAGCACCAGAACAAGATGAAGTTTTATAAGGACCCCATGTGTCGCAGTGAATAAGATCAAAACATGCTTTACTGTTACTAAAACTCAAAGGAAACATACTACGAACTTGTTTGGCTTGATAACAAATATCACACGCCTTATTTTGATTTTCTTTATTTAAACTACTACAAAAAGGAAGCAGAGAAACAACTTCATGTGATGCATGTCCCAATCGTCAATGTCATACTTCTGCGGTTTCTCTAGTGCGAACAGCAGCAACAGATGGTTGCGCAGAGTGAAACACATAGACCCTTGTTCGGTTGTCACCTAGTCCAATCGTCTGGCTCAGCATATGGTCCTGCAATACACAACCCTTGTCAGAAAAGATCACATTGTTGTTTGTTTCTTTTAATAATTGGGACACAGAAATCAAATTACACTGTAACTGTGGCACATATAAAACATCATGCAAAATAAAAGATGGATCAAGAACCACATTCCCACGTTGCTCTGCTAGAACCATGGTACCATTGGGAAAAGTCACGGGCAAAGGTGGTATAGCCCTCATGTCTTGTATCAAATCTTTCGGACCTGTCATGTGTTATGAAACTCCATTATCTACAAGCCATTGAAAATTAACAGACTTACCCTTGAGTTTGTCATTTGA